ACAAGGGCTGCACTGCGTGCCACTGCATTACGCCACTCTAGAGCGTCACACAGTCACCAGCGAGGCGCGCCGGCTCCCAGTGTAGTGGCAATTTCAGCGGGCGTGGGCGCGTGGTCTGGTGGATGGCGTGGTGGATGAGGCGTGGCGGTTTGGGGCGTGGCGGTTTGGGGCGTGGCGGTTTGGGGCGTGGCGGTTTGGGGCGTGGCGGTTTGGGGCGTGGCGGTACGCTCCCTTGCAGGTGGCATCTAGGCGCGGCTCACACCGGCACGCTCGGTGTGGTTTTGTACAAAGGGAAGGCCCGGGCCAGGCCTAGGCCCAGCCCGCGCTCGACTAGGCCCAGGCCTAATTGAACACGGCTTGCCGCGATAATTACAGTGCACGCACGTCACGCGGCTACATGTGCGTGACGACATGCCGGCCGCATGCCGCGTCCCATTAAAACGCGAAAACTAAGCCGGTTCGATATCTCGAAATGTCGATATCGGATATGGATACTGATTACACGCACAGCGGGCTTCCCTCCTCGTCGGTGCACCGAGTGCCCGGCAAACGCAAAGCAGCCATTATTTGGATCCGTTTCTCAGTGCTGCGCGATGCAAATATCCACCATCAGGCTGAGATCCATCTCCGTGTTGTCGAGAACCTGGTTAAATCGACGGCGATCCCTCTTTTATAAATTACCAACTTTTCTGTGATGTCATGCTCTAGATTCTCGAACGAGGAAAATGCTTAATAGGAACTTCTAAGTGAACCGTGCCAAAGCAGGGTTTTTTTTTCGTAGCGCTCTGTGAGGGAGAGGCGGGTTTGTTGCTGGAAAACCGTATACCTGTGGCGCGCCGCACGCCCTCTTTGGCAAGGCTGCCGTTCCGGCCCGGGCGCTCGGCTCGGCTCGGCTCGGCTCGGCTCGGCTCGGCTCGGCTCGGCTCGGCTCGGCTCGGCTCGGCTCGGCTCGGCTCGGCTCGGCTCGGCTCGGCTCGGCTCGGGCTCGGCTTTGGCTCGTCCTGGCTCCAGGCAGCCTCACGCGCTCCTGCACATATTGGTAGAACGAGGCTAAAGTGGTCCTCCGCTGCACAGCGCCGCAGACATAATGCGCCCTCATAAGCCGTCCCAGCCCGTCGCTCCGTCTCTCTCGCACTCGAGGGGCGACTCGTGCGGGTGCGAGAGAGACGACACGAGGCACTGTTCGGAACCACCCTGAAGCAGCCTCGCCCTTCGCTGCATGCTTTGGCCAGCAGGGCTCCAGGCAAAATGGCCCCACAAGTCCGCCCGAAGTAGGACCGCTCGGGACCGTAGCCGCGCCGATCCGTGACGTTCCCCGCCAAAGCGCTCAAGCCCTACAAAGGAGCACTTTGTAGCTCCGCAATTTGGTGGAGGGACCCTGGTACCTGTTAAGCCTCCGCATAGCCGGGACGTGGCAATGTCCCATCTCTCTCTCATCAACGTGGGCGAGTAAAAATGCGAAGCGCATAGGTCAAGAGGTGAAGCAGTGTGCTTGCACTCTACAAAAAATGTCCTGTCAACGCCGTTAATTTATTACCAATGTTTGCTGTTATGCAATTCACGGCGTTTGCTGTGAACTAGTTCACGGCGTTCACTGTGATCTCGGTTACAGTGTTCACTGTGATCTGGCCACAGTAAACGCCGTGAATTGGAGCCTGATTTGCAGTACTTCGGTGCTATCAGCGGCGTCAAACTCACAGTGTTTACTGGGGACCAGATCACAGTGAACACCGCGAACAAGATCACAGTGAATCGTGTGAGCAGATCACAGTAAACGCTGTGAATTGACCTACAGTGAAAACTGGTAATAAATTAACGGCATTTACAGGACATTTTTGGTAGAGTGTGCGGCTGCTGCCTTGCCTTTGAAAACGATGCTCCTTGTCAGGCACATTTTTTCATCCCGAGGGCAGCGCTGGCGCAGACAGTGCATGCAGCTCATGTGCGCCCCGCCAAAGGTCCACACGCGGGAGGGAAGTGTGTACTCTGCGGAGCGCCCGCCGCGGCTCCCAACGCGGCGCTGCACAGTGGGCCAGAAGACCGGCGCAGCGGCCAAAACTCTAGACGCGTTTTGAGCTCCAGAGTCGCTAAATAGGACTCGAAACGTTCGTGTCACCCCACCAATGGATTGCTCTCAGAACGAGGAATCCATTGGTGGGGATACACGTTCGTTTTAAGTCGTATTTAGCGACTCTGGAGCTCAAAACGCGTCTAGAGTTTTGGCCGCTGCGCCGGTCTTCTGGCCCACTGTGCGCTGTGGCTGCCGGGCCCTGCCGTCTAGACGGCGGGGGAGTTCATCAACGTCTGTTCAGAGCTCGTGCCAAGTGATAATTTCTGCTGGAGACGTCGCCTGTCCCGGGAGCGACGCGGCAGCGCCTCTTCACACGGCCTCCACAGTGTGCCGTCCGTCCCCCACCCGCGCCTTTTTGGGGGCCAAACTTCCCTCTCAGTGCCGTTGCTGTCGCTGGTCCAATCCACCTGATCCGGTCGGCCGGCCCGGTCCGTCGCTCTGTCTCTCTCGCACCCAAGGGGAAATAACTCTGAATTTCGGTGTACAAATGAATGAATTTCGTGAATTTCTTGAATTTCAGTGAACTTTTTGGAATTTTATTGAATTTTGTTGAATTTCAGTGAATTTTTTACGAATTTTGGTGAATTTTATTGAATTTCTATGAATTACTTTGAATTTTTTTAATGAATTTTTGCGAATTTTGCTGAATTTTAATGAATTTCTATGAAATACTTTGAATTTTGTGAATTTTAAAGAATTTTTGAATTTTGGGGAATTTTAAGAATCTTCTTGAATTTTAATGAATTTTTGTGAACTTTAATGAATTTTGGTGAATTTTAATGAAATTTGGTGAAGTTTTTGCAATATTTCAGTGAAATTTTAATGATTTTTTTTGAATTTTAATGAATTATTTTGAATTTTAATGAATTTTTTTGAATTTTAATTCAAGTGTACATTTTTTTCTGAAGTTATTTCCCCTTGCTCGCACCCTTGCGGGACGCCCCGTGCGGGCGAGAGAGACAGCGCTGTTCGGCCCCGCGGCCTACCGTTGCGAGACTGGTTTAAGAAGTTGAGGACTCGCGGTCACTGGAGCCGCCTGCCTCCTGCCCGCCTGGCCAACCGGTTGGCCTTTGACGCAAGGGGCAAAGGTTGAGGGTTTATTTTGTTGGAGCGATCGCTCCGCCGCTTGACCGAACCGGCGGTGCTCCAGGCTGCGTAGCTGGACCCCGTGGCCGTGGCACTCAAGGAAGTGCACCTCTTCACCCTAAAATCAGAAAACATAACAATTTTTCACAGTTTTCGCTTAACTGAAAAGACTGAGGTAAATGTCGTCGAAAGTCGCCCAACGAACTGCAACTGCAACGAAGTGGCAACCGCTTTCACAGTTGTTGTACTTTTGTTTGGGAGTTTAATAAAACGGCCATTGACTGCCAGAGTCAGAGAGAGCAATCCTCTGGCAAAGGGCTGCAACGAATTATGTAATAATTCCCACTGACAAGGGTGGCTCTGGCTCGTCCTGGCCGCAGAGTTTCGAACCCCGCCACTAGCGAACCTCGAGCAACGTCGATTCATGCCCGTGCCGTGCGGGCGGCAAAGGCAATATCTATCGGTGGCACTTTTTCTGAACATGCACCAGCCTCGGTGCCGTCGCGTAGCTCGCAGGCTGTGGTCTCGCGGGGCCGAAGAGAGGCACGATGAGCTATAAAAAGTAGCAGTTTAACCATTGTTTTTTCAGAGTTTGCTTGTGTACTGCATAACCCTCGTGGTTCCGAATTGTTTATCTTCTGGCCAGCCTTGCCACGCTCCGCTCCACTGCCTTGCCACGAATTCGGCACAGAATGATCCATTTTCCTCCTCCGTGTCGTCCGTGCTTTCGAATAATAAACGAGGGAAAAGGCGAGTTGATCCGCGGCGTCGATTCCACGCCACGACGCTCCGCGACCAAGGCGGCGCGGCGGAGCGTGCTGCGTGCCATCGCGCGCGGCACGGCGCGCCAAGGAAAACCGCGAGATTAATCTAAAAACCGATGCGAGGTCTGATGGAGGAAAATTCCTTCCGCGGCTTCCACGAATTCGTCCCCACCCCAGCCCCCCGCCCTCGTGTGCTGCGCGTCCTCGTCGCTGCTGAGCCCCCTCCCCCTCCTCCCCGCGACGCTTGTTGCATCGCGGTGCGTAATCGGAGGGTGCCCGCCCCGCCCCGCCGGCCCCGCCGGCCCCGCCCCACTGGACTCGGTTTGGCCGCACAAAGCGCCCTGCGCAGCCGTGCCGAACCGTCCCCGTCTCTCTCGCGCCCTCCGCGGGACGCCCCGTGAGTGCGAGAGAGACGGGGCACTGCACAGTGGGCCAGAAGCCGGTGGAGGCGGCCAAAACTCCAGACGCGTTTTGAGCTCCAGAGTCGCTAAATGGGACTCGAACCGAACGTGTGACCCCACCAATGGATTGCTCCCCGAACGAGGAACCCATTGGTGGGGTCACACGTTCGGTTCGAGTCCCATTTAGCGACTCTGGAGCTCAAAACGAGACTAGAGTTTCGGCCGCCTCCACCGGCTTCTGGCCCACTGTGCACTGTTCGGAGGCAGCCTGCCGAGGACGTGTTGGGCCCCGGCAGCGTCCGGTGTGGCCGTGGCGTGGCGCGGCATGGCGTGGCGCGGCCGGGGAGGGCGACGAGGGTGGCGAGGGCTCGGCGGCCCCGACTCGCTCGGCTGGCCTCGACTGGCCTCGGCCCTCTTCCGGCCGCAGCCAATTATGTCGGACGACAGGCCGAGGAGGCATCGCGGGCAACGCCTCGTCGAGCGCCGCCACCACCGGCTGCGGAAAAAAAAACGCCGCCGCCGCCAGTGAACGCACAATAAACTTATTTTTGAAAATTTATGGTGGTTAACGATCACGGGGCTGAAAGCAAACTGAAAGAATCCTGAGCCAGTTCGAGAGTCATTACTCACGCCATTGTGACGGTTGATTGTAAGACTCCGGTGGCTCCTCTGTTGCAGCGCGCGGCCGTCCAAGCTCCGGGCCAAGATCAGCATCGCCGTCATCTGGTTGGCGTCGGCGGTGCTGGCCACCCCCATGGCGGCAGCCCTGCGCGTCAGCGAGGTGTCGCACGTCGTGGGTGAGTACAGTGGAGTGGAGTGGCCGTCAGTGCGAGAGAGACGCCGCGGGTGGCTGGGCTGCGCCGGGCTGACCCTTCGGCGCGTCTCTCTCCCACTGCTGGCAGCTCGGCTCGCTCCGTCGCGTCGATGTTTCGACACCACTGTAAGTGCAGCCTTGAGGTGCAGCTGCGGCGCCACCACCACCCCCCACACTCCCCGCGCGCCGCCGGGGCACGGGGCACCGGGGCCAGCAGTGCTTTCGTCGCTCCGCCCCTCTCTTTCTCTCTCTCTCTCTCTCTCTCTCTCTCTCTCTGTCTGTCTGTCTCTCTCTCTCTCTCTCTCTCTCTCTCTCTCTCTCTCTCTCTCTCTCTCTCTCTCTCTCTCTCTCTCTCTCTCCGTTCGGGATCCTACTGGCAGGCTAGCGCCACGCTAATGACTACTTGGCCAAATTTAATTTCTCTCTCCCTCACCCTCGCCCGCCAGCAGCCTGCGCGCCGCCAGCCCGCCAGCCCAGCTGGCAGCCACAACCACAAGCCGCGGAACCGCGGAGGGAGGGGCACGGATTTATTTTCAGTCCCGATGACAGCCAGACGGCCACAAGTACCACCGTCTGGTGGACTGATGGGGCTTCAAATCGACGCGGTCGACAAAAACAACAACAAAAGCAGCAGCAGCAACAACACCGATGGGGGCGACGACAGCGGAAACATCGGCGACACTCACTGGAGGGCGGGACATTAAAGTACTGCTCATGACGGCCCAACTTGCTCCAAAGTGACGCGCGACGCCTTTTTATAGTCCATCCTTTCTTTCTTTCCTGTTGCTGCTGCTTTGTTTGCTCTCCGCGCCGCGGCGCCCGGCAGAGAGACTCGGAGGCACTGGCCGCGCGCCGCGCGGTGTTCTAACAAGCGAAACTTGGGGTCTCCTTCACTCCCGCGCCTTTTGCTTTCGGCTCGCCGCGCTGCCCGCGAGGGGGTGGGGGCGGTGTTGTGTTGATCCGGGCCAGACTGTCGGGTCGGGTAATGCGGCGCTGCCCCCGGAGGCCCAGAGGCCCAGAGGGTTGGCGGCGGTTGGCCGGGTCCCAGTCGGTCCCAGCCGGTCCCAGTCGTCCAGCCCCAGTGCCCCAGTCCATTGACGGCGTACCCACAGTGCCTCTCGGCCCGTCGGCGGCCACCCCGACGGCCTTGTGCTGGTGCCGGGCGGGCTCGCGTGCAGCGCCACGTCGCCTGGGCGTCAAGCAGGCCTCATTTCCCAGTGCGCCCCCGCCCCCCTCCCCCCAGACAGCCGGGCTGTTATTTCTGTCCGTTGGGATTGAGCCGCGCGAAGGGCGAAGGACCTCTCCAGGGCTTGACCACGTGACCGCGTGCAGCGTCGCTCTGTCTCTCTCGCACTGCCCGGCACTGCCGGGGTGGGCCATCGCCGAGCGAGAGAGCGCGACGAGAGCGCCGGTCGCGGAACCGGCCTGCAGGCGGCAGGCCGGCAAAACTGGGGTGGAGTCCGAGTGTTTGTCGAGAGGGAGTGCTGCCGGCCTGTCGGCCTGTCGGCCCCAGTGGTGCGCACGGCCACTACACTCGGATCGGGGCCGCGCCTCAACGTGGTGGCTGTGACGCGGACGGTGTAGCGCCCGAGCAGTGCGGGGTAGGCAACTCCAGTCACGGCCGCGCTGCCGCGCTGGGCGGGCTTGCCTACCCCCGACTCCACAGGCGGTGCAACGCGCGACGCGGCGACGCGGCACTCCCGTCCAAAGCCACCACACCGCCACAGCCACATCGGTGAGCTGAGCCTCCCTGAGCCACGCCAACTTTCGCGAAACACGTTGCCGTCGCCAGCGAGCGCAAGGCGAGCGCAAAGCGTCCCCCATAGAGGCCCCGGTGGCCGCGGGAAGCCCGGACCAAAGCCCGGTCCAAAGCCTGGACCAAAGCCGGCAGCGCCAAAATCGTTTTTCCAGTGGGGGCAGCGCCGCGGCGTTGCTGGCTGTCGCCGCGAAATGACGCTCGACAGTCCGATTCAAAGAGCCCATTAGATTCGGTTTGCGATTCCAAGTCCTCTGGTTCGGTTCTGACTGGGCGTGCTTTTCGGCTCCCCGCAGACGGGCGCACCGTGGAGAAGCCCTTCTGCAGCAACCAGCTCATGTCCAAGGAGGCCATGATGACGTACCGCTCCGTGCTGTGGGTGCTGCAGTACTTCACGCCGCTCTGCATCATCACCTTCGTGTACGCCCGCATGGCGCTGCGCCTCTGGGGGTCCCGGACGCCCGGCACGGCGCACGACACCCGCGACGCCACCATCATGCGCAACAAGAAGAAGGTAAGCGCCTCACAGTGTCGGCTTGTGCCGCAACTTTGTGCAACCCTCGCTCTGCGCCAGCACGCTGCAGAGTCGAAGAGTCACGCCCTGCTTTGTTGCTGTCTCTCTCGCACCCTTACGGGACGCCACACGAGTGCGACGGAGACGGACGTTTTGCGTCTCACACACGACTCCCCGATCCCCGGCGCGCGCCTGGTCCACGCGGATCCTTCGGAAGGACAAGAACGTCACCGGCCCGGCTGCACGTGACGTGGCCACGCCGGCAGCAGTTATTTTTTGTCGCCGCCCGATCGCGCACTCACGGGATGGCCCCCACGCGTGCGAGAGAGACAACAACAAAGCCCTGTTCGGAATCAACCTTCTGGGGCCCCGGGAGAGTCGAGGAGGCCCGCTAGTGGTGTGCGAGCAAGAAGTAAAGGCCTTCGCCGGGGCGGAGAAGTGGGGGGGGGGGGCTGCAGTGGAGATGATTGCGCGGAAGAGTACACGGAGCGTTATCCGAGATGAAGGCGACCAGTGCAGCACAAAGAAAAACCTGCTCTCCGTGGAAAAATTTAGCGAGCACGGAGGGAAGTTCTGGCGCTCCTGGTGAAGCAGGAACCTGACACATGCCCTGGCCTCTATGTTTATTTAGGGCTGCTCTATCTCTACGTGGCTGGCCACGAGTTTTTCGGAAAGCGCGCCAGTCCTGTAAGGCCGCCTTGGGGGTCCTGGGAAGGAGTACACTCTAAATGTAGGGTGCCCAGTAACTGGGCGCCTTTGTCGCCCGCCCCACTTTTTAGGGTGCCAAATGTCGCCCAGTTTCTGGGCACCTTTGTCGCCCAGTCTCGGGGTGGACTAATCATGCAGTAACCGGCCCTCTCCCATGGCAGAGCATGGACAGGTGTCTAGTTCCTGGGCGACTAAGGTGCCCAGATTCTGGGCACCTTTGGCACCTTAGTCGCTGCTGAGCCATGGGTGAAGGCAGGTTCCTTATGGTTTGTCCAACCCAAGACTAGGCGACAAAGGTGCCCAGAAACTGGGCGACATTTGGCGCCCTAAAAAGTGGGACAGGCGACAAAGGCACCCAGTTACTGGGCACCCTACATTTAGAGTGTAGTGGGGGTGGAGGTTGTAGCGACTACACCAAGAGCCCGAATCGAAAGCCTAGAGTCTGTCCCTTCGATTCCAGCTTCGTTCTTGCTACGGACAGCCCGCGAGAAAAAGAAAATAGAAATATTTGGCTTTGACATGTCCGAGTAAACAGATGGTGTTTGGCTCTGTTATTTATCCATAAGCCTGAATCTGGTGAGGGAAATGGATCTTGCCTGTTGACTCCCGGCAGGTCCTCTTCAAAGATGTTGTAGTCGTCGTCGAGTGGGGATGCGATAGGATAAAATAAGAAGGTCCGAACACGTTGAGGGATGTGTGATTACTGGATTTATTCAGGAAACTTGTAAACAGGAAACATGGCATTGGTCACATGACTCGACAGTGCTGCCACTCACGGTGGTGCCAACTTGCGCTACGCTCGAGGGGTCCATCACTTCCCAAAATTTTGTACAGTGATTGGAGATGAAATTGATTGCACTGATTGGAAGTGATTAGAATTGATTGTAATTGATTGGAAATTGATTGGTCCAACAAATAAAAAAGATTGGGGGAAAAAATTTTATACAGGAAGCAGATGAAGGGAAAAACTCGATTTTGACCATTTCTTAGGAGAAAAAAAATGTTAGGAACAACTTAAACTAAACAAAGTAATTTTCAGATGAAAACAAGTTCAAGAAGCGTAAGTTAAATTTTGAGATGAACATCAGGAGTGTCAGGTACTGCAAATGGAATTTCTATGACTGAAAATAGAGTAATCTCAACTTATAGTGGAATTTTGAGACATGGTAAGTGGAACTATGGTGAGGTGAGCAGAAAGTGTTGGTTCCTCTGGTGCATTTATTGGACTTAGCTCTTCTTTCCGTTTAAGTTCTTAAAATGAAAGGGGGTCAGGTGGCCTTGATTCTAGCTTTTAACAGTCGATACATAAAAATACAGGTTGATATATCTCCTCACTGAGAAAACCTAACAAACTATTTTGGGCCTTACAAAGAAAAGTAGTTTGTATGACAAAGTATTTTGAGCATACGTAAGCTTACAAAGAAAATACTTCGTAATTTACGGACTATTTCGTCGTATAACAAAGTATTTTAGTTTGTTATATGTATGCTGAAAATACTTCGTAAGGTTTTAAGAGTGCTATTAAAAATATGTTCAACGGAGCATTTTGACTTTGGTTACGTTGATTCCATTTTCCGCTAAATTGAGAGTGTCAAAGGGGTCAAGTTGAATTATCTTGTTTTAGAAGTGGATTTTCTCCTTAACTTCTAGAAAATGAGTCAAGTAATTTGGTAATGATGCAAACCATTCTAAGGTACAAACAATAATAGAATAAAAACCCAATTTGGAGATAAGTAGAATTATTCCCTTCTTCCGCTTCCAGGATCAAATTACATTACCAACAACGAATGCTGATGCCCTCTTTTCCAAAGAAGATTTTTTAAAATCAGTAGTACTGGCAAGAAAACTTCATTGACAACGGCTTATGTTGTACTGTCTACCTAAAGCAGCTCCAATGTCAGGTTATTTACTTAAACTGTAACGATTTTAATCTTGATTTAAATGATTGCGAACGTGATTGTTGCTGATTTAACGTGATTGGAAATGGATTGGAAACGATTTTAGCGATTGGAATGATTGGAGGTGATTGGAATGATTGGTGATGATTGGAGATGATTGTAGATGATTCGAATCACGATTGTTTTTTTGGGTGTACAGTGATTGGAGGGAGTGATGGACCCCTCGGCTACGCTAGTGCCTACCACAACAAAAGAGGCACGCGTCTCGAGGTTACCATTCCACTCCACCCACTCTGTCCCTCCCGACCAGCTCGGCCCACTCGGCCCTCTCGGCCCTCGTCCCGGGGCACCTTATTGGGCTGCCCATGCCATGCCAAGGGTTGCTGTGCGCTCCTCGATCGGGTCCTTTTTGCATGCGTATCTTCAGAAGGCTAATGGGCAGCAGCCCTGAAAGAGGCATCGCAAATCACTGTCAAAAATAAATAGGAAAAATCGCACGTCACCGCATCTCCGTTGAAAAAAATTATCCGGAAATTAAAATTTATCCAAGGTATTTTTAACCGTGATTTTTCTGGGGAAAAGCTTGGAGAAGAAGACCTGGTGGGCTCCGAGATTTCACCTCTTGTCCAGGATACAGCATGAAACTCGTTTCCTCTCCAATGATTATTTCGCGTGCTTTAACGTGTTGCGCGAGAGGGGCTCTGAGAGGACGGCACGGACCCACTCTCCCCACAGATTAGGCGCGGTCCTTCCAACACACTCTGTGTGTGTTTGTGTGTGTGTGTGTGTGTGCGTGCGCGTGTGTGCTGGAGTGCAAGTGTGTTTTGTCCGACCCATGGGCTTGCTTCAGATTAATCGGTTCAAACAACGCCTCCGCCTCCAACTCCCGTCCTCTGCACTGACATGGCGTGGGCCGTGCGTCGGCCGGACCAAGCACTGCTGCCGTCCAGTAAAAGAAAACGGAATAAAAAGTTTTCTTTCTGTTTTTTTTTTTTCCTTTCAGGTGATCAAGATGTTGGTGATCGTCGTGGCCTTGTTCGCACTGTGCTGGTTCCCGCTGCAGACGTACAACATCCTGCAGGACATGTTCCCCAGGATAAACAGGTGGGCTAATTAGAATAACTGCAGACCGGTGGTTCATAAAAGGTGCACGAGCCAAGATTGGCACAAAGCGTTACGGCACTGGAAATTAAACTGCCACAGAGAGGCAGAAAGTTGGCCACTCGACGGCGTCCACCGTGTGCGCTACGCGGCACCAAGACAAACACAATTCGGCAAGTTGATGGTTGCGAAGTGGCGCCGCGGAGCCAGACTGCACTCTCTGCAGGCGGCGCAAGCGACAAGCGACGCAAGCCCAGCGAGCACACACATGCTGGTTTCTGGCACACTCACCGTCGTCACGCCGTGTTTGATTTGCATCCAGAGCAGGCCTACGGCCCTCCACGAAAGCCATTCCGAAATCCGGAGCCGCCGCGTATAATAATTTAGTGACGCGCCGTCGGAACGACCTAAAAACGAGGATTATGAGGGGGACTGCTGCGCTGCCAGCTAGTCACCGGTGAAAACGAAACACTTTTGCACGTTTGAATGACAAACGCGGAGCACATGCGGCCTAACCTTGAATTTCGAGGCACTGAATTGCAGGGAGCCGGGTACTAATAATTCAGCAGGTACCCGACAAGCCATGAATTGCCGTCACGGTGGACGCGGGGCAGCCCGTACATCAGAGTGCTCCCATTCCAGTGCGATACCTTGCTTTGCCTGAAAAAAAGGAAAAATAGGTGGGTCCGGCGGCGGACCGGGGCCGAGGGAATGCTGGGATGCTTCCTGGGGAAGGGAGGGCAGGGTCGAGTCCAGTATTAGCCAGTGAAAAAAGCGGGAAAATAAAACTGTCACTCACCCGCGGAAAAGTACGCCAGGGTCGCCTTTTGTCCCCAGGACATGCCGACACAACCGCAAAAAGTTAAAAATATTTCACGTCAAATTTGAGGCCGCTCTGAGAGTGCTGGCCGCGAAAAAAGCCCCCTTCGCCCCTATGTGTCGTGGTACAGATGTCTGGCTTGTTGCAGCTACAAGTACATCAACATCATCTTCTTCTGCTGCGACTGGCTGGCCATGAGCAACAGCTGCTACAACCCCTTCATCTACGGCATCTACAATGTGAGTACTAAACAAACACTAGCAAAAAAAAATAAAGATTTCAGAAAATTTCAAGAGCTTAAATCCTTTCTTACTCCCAACTTTTTTGAAATGGTAGTTTCTCAGTCCACCCGAAACATCAGCGTGAGTCCCCACGCTTGCGCGTGGCGGTCTGAGCCGTGGCCGGCTTGGCCAGCGGGGCCAGCGTGTCCAGCGCACTACAAATGCAAAGCTCTCTGCCACTCGGCGACGCTCGACGCGTTCCCCCCACACGTTCCGTGCCGTTCCGTGCGCACGGGGGGCGGGCCGAGGCGGGCGCTGAGAGCACGTCGAAAAGCGCGCGGTTCTCCCTGTTTGCGTTGTGCGAAACGAAAGGCCCGACGCACGCTCTGCAAGGCCTCGGGCCTCGGGGGCAGCCACCCGATTTTCTGCAGTTTGGAACCCGCTGGGGAAGCAGTGTTTCCGTCCGAAACTCTTCAAAGACACAATAATGATTAGCTGCGCTGTAATTACAAAAGTGCGTCCTAATTTTTTGTTTTTTTTTTGTTTTTCAGGAAAAGTTTAAACGCGAGTTCCAGCAGCGGTTCCCGTTCCGCCACCGGCGCAGGGACACCTGGGGGCCGCACGACTCGGTGGACGACAAGACCCTCTCCGCCGTGGGGGGCACGCGCTCCTCCGTGCTGCGCTCCACGGCCTACCACCACGACTGGCGGCGCGCCTACTCGTCCAGGACGGCGTCGTCGCCGCGCTTCTACCCGCCGCCGCCCCGGGAGTACGGCGTCAACGGCGCGTCCGAGACCCTGTACCGGCCCTACGCGGCCAGGCTCGCCGAGGGACAGGTGCGTAGGGTTGCCGACTCCCCTTGCCGCTGTAGGGTTGCCGACTTCCCCTCACCGCGCGCGGACGACGAGGAGATTCGTATTACGCGACTGAAACGTGGAAGGGAACTTAACTTTTACATTCCAGCCCGCATTAAAAAGTTAGGCGGCAACCTGGCTGAGCTTGTTACATCGTCTCATTACAGAACCGCACCCGAAAAAAAAGGACCGAAAATTCATACCCCGAGCTGGAGCTAGTCGACCTCACGACCGGGCTTCTGGAACACCCCAATCTAAAAATAGGTGTCCAGGGAAAAAATGTCCGTTCCTTCATATTTTTTCTGCGTGGCTGACTTCGTTTACGGAGGGATGTGCCCGTGGCGTCGCAGAGTGCGACGGGGCCGGGCCTGCCACGCGCGCTGCCTCCACAAGTGCCTTACTCCTACCCGACTGCACGCTCAATATCGTCGCCAGCGTGGGCGAGTGCCCCAGTCGCCCTAGTGGTCCCAGTCCTTGCAGTGCCGCCGTGTCTTGCCGTCTTTCCGATGCCAATGTCAAGGTCCTCTAGGTCCGCCAGGCCCATAGCCCAACCGCGTGGGACGGGATTACTCCCCGCTGCGGAGCGAATACCCCGCGCCTCGAGCGCCCCTTCGTCTCAGCGCGGGGTAGCGCCACATCGCGCCCCTCCTACAGCTTTGGCACTGCGTGCCGCCGCGTTCACCGCGCTGATGCATGCTGTCTGCTGCTGCAGGTGCGCGGCCTGGGCGGCCTGACGGAGTCCACGGCCTTGACGGCCAGCCCGGGGAGCAACAGCACGGCGCGCAGCACGCCCACGCTCTGCATCACGCCGGCGCCGGGCCGCCGCCACCAGCAGCGCCGGCTCACGGCCTCGGACCTGGAGTCGGCCTCGGGCTCGGCCTCCACCTCCACCACCGAGCTCTACGTGTTCCCCGCGGCCAGGGCATCCAGCGTCGCCGGCCACGTCGTCGCCCGCAAGGACAGCCACTCCAGCGAGGAGGGGGACATGTTCCCCTTGTAGGTGGGAGACCGCTCGCCTCGTCACGTGCCAGTGCATTGCGAGTGCCAGACTACCCGCAAATGACATCGCGCGGACGGAGACGAAATCTTGAACGAACCCTCCCGCTGCGGGCCGACTGTGCTCTCTCTGAGGGGAGGAATGTGCAACGGAATCCTGGCTAGTGCCCCGGCAGAATTGGTCGGTGGAGTTGAAAGACTGATCATCACTGCCCTGGCAGTGTTTTCCTTACGGCGCTCTATGTCTCTGTCTCGCTTCTCTGGTCAGTGTAGAAACAAACTAGGTTTAGGTCTACCGTGTGATCCGTGAAGTATTATTGCACAGCATGTTCGGTTTTGCTGGAATGTAAATATTTTCGTACCTGCCTATCGCTCTTCCAATAAACTATTTTTTCTGTGTGTCAGTTTTGGATTGGTTCGTCGTGTGCCACGCCTCTTATCAATCATTAATTTGATGAAAAAGGGAAAAAATAAAATGAATCTCGTTTCTTGATATTTTTTTATTCCTTCGAAAATAACATGTTCGATATGCAACATTACTTATTTCTGCAAGCACGTTTTACAAATAGTTTAACTGTACACATTAAATCGCTTGCTTTCTGACTTACGGACACCATTGTAGAAAATAGAATGGTCATATGCAGTTTTAGACTGTGTTAGGAAATGACGATTTATTTTTGGAAGATGACTGAACATAATGATGCGAAAGATAACAACTCTAATAGGCTGGCAGTGCGGTGTAATACAATAAACGTACAGGTAGGAAGCGAGTAACTAGTATAAATTTAGCTTGGCAATCGCTCATGATATCCACGTTCTCTCAGAGTTGGCCTGTAAGTCTACAATTCAGAAAGCACTCCCTGAATATGATAAGATGTCGGCGAACAGGGCGCGCGCCACAGTACACAGTAACAACAAAAAACACAATTGACAACTCTCCTGCATTGTTAACATTTTCTTATCTCTTCGGTTACACGTAATATCACAGGCTATGTGCACCCATTGATATGTTCGGATTTAGTCTGAAGATTATACCGACGAACAAAGTATGTGGATTTTCTTCGCAGGGGTAATGTGACTGGACGAATAATTATGTTAAGTCTAGAGGCAAGGCATTTAGAAATCTTTGGAAGACACCTGAAATGACATATTATGCATCTTACATTTAAAAGCGAAAATGGCTGGAAATACTGTATACCCTACCGTGAAGAACTTGAAAAGGACAGTGAAATTGACAGAAAGATATTAGAAGATAAGACAGACATGTCTTGAAAAAGGATGTTAAAGGCTTTATTTATGTACAAATTTAACAAAGGTCTTACGACCCAGGCATTTTTTATCACAGAGGTCGTCACTCTTCGTTTTATATCCTATCTAAGGGTAAAAGTTAAATTTTCAAATTACAGCACCCGAAAAAAGTGGGTGCTAATGTCACCGACCGTCTCACCAAAAAAATGAATAGAAAATATTAATCAAAACATTGCTTAGACACTGGTGAAGGCCTGTTTCAAAATTTGATAAAAAATAAAGTCTTGGCGCTTTAAGGCAATCAAACTGGTGAGTCGCGCGGAACAGGCACTCCCGGTTCAGTTCTTTCAGTCCCGGTGGTTCGTCGTCGTGGTGGCGGTGGCGGGGCGCGCCGGCTTGCCATCAGCTGCCTGGGGTCGCGCCCGCCCGCCGTGGAGGGCGGCGGCGAGGCCCCGGACGCCAGCCGGAAGCCCACGCGGTCGGAGTGCTCCGTGCTGGACCCGCTGGAGCTGCGGCGCAGGACCGGCGACGGCACGGGAGTGGCGCTGTCTTCCTCGGCGTCCGCGGCCCAGCAGGCGGCCGACGACCACGTGGCGTCGTCCTCGTCGTCGGCGTTGGTGGAGGCCTGCGAGATCTGCGCCGGGCCGGACGCGGACCCGGACGCGGACCCGGACCCGGACAGCCCGGAGCTCCTCCTGGAGAGTGCGTGCCGCTCCAGGGAGTCGCTGGACAGGGACTGGCCCTCGGACGGCGGCGCGGTGGGGGTCGTCGGCGTCCCGGTGGGGCTGCGCGTGGGGAAGGTGGTCTCCTCGCGCGACGCGGCGCCCACCCTGTCGATGTCGCAGCGCGCGCCGCCGTGCCGCAGCGCCGCGCTCGCCTCGTCGGCCAGCGCCATGTCCATGCCCGACGTCACGGAGAAGCTCTGCTCGCGCGGCGGCAGCTTGGGCGCGCGTCGGGGCGCCTTGGTGCTGCTGGCTCTCGCCAGAGGTGGCGGCGCGGGCTCGGACAAGCCGGCCCCTTCGGCCACGTTGGTCACGTTGGTCACGTCCGCGGGGCCGCGCGCGCCCAGCTCGTCGTCCTCCACGCTGTCCCACGCGCCGCGCCCCGACAGCGTCCACGCCGTGTCCTCCACGTCCACCTCGATGGACACCCACTGGTCCATGTCCTGGCCCGCCAGGCTGCTGATGTCCGAGCCCAGCGAGTCGCTCTTCTGGTGCACGGGTGGGTGGGCGAGCACCGCCACCCTGGTGGGGGTCTTCTTGGGGCTGGCGCCGTGCCGGAGGTGCAGGTCGGAGAAGCTGTCGGGGTCTTGGCTGACAAGGCTGCTCAGGTCCGAGCCCACCGAGTAGCTGCCCGCGGCCAGCGAGCGGGCCGCTGCCTGGCGGGGTGGTGGCGGCGCGGCCGGGGGTGCGGGGCAGGTGGCCGACGCGTGCACGGAGCAGGCCAAGCTAGCCGCCGTCTGCACCGCAGCGGCGACCAGCGTGGCCGGCCCCAGCAGCCCACTGTCCTCCGTCGAGCTGGCCTCGGACACACTGGAAGACTCTGGCCAGTCGTGCTGCTGCGGGATGGTGACCACCACGTGGTTGGCCTGGTCCAGCCGGGACGGAACGCTGCGCCGCAGCACCTCTTGGACCGCGCCGCCCTCGCGCGCCAGCACCTCCCCGACGAAGGCCGAGGCCGGCCGGTCGCGCCGCTTCACCGTGATCCTGGCGCGGCGCCGCGTCACGCTCAGGTCCGTGGCCTCGTCCTCGCCCTCGTCGCCGCTCATGCTGGACAGCGTGGCCGCGTCGTCGTGCTGGTCCCGGAGCGCGGCGTAGTCGAACAGCGAGCACTCCGTGGCGGACTGCGGCGACCGCGAGGTGGAGGCCGAGGCCGTGTTGGCGCCGCTGTTCTCGGCCGAGGCCTTCTGCCTGCCGCTGATGGCCGTGGCGGACATGGAGTGCCGTGGCGGCGCGCCCAGGCCGTTGGGGGAAGTCAGCACCTGGTCCGAGTCCGCGACGGTGCGAGGACGCGGCCGAGGCCGTGCGCGCACCGACGTCTCGTGCCGCCGCGCGACCTTCTTCTGCGGCGGCTCTGGTGCCGTCGGCGCGGGGGACCTGGCCGACGGCGAGGCGGACGACAGGACGGACGACGGCGACAGCAGGTCCTGCAGCACGGAGGGCCCCGCCAAGGCCTCCTGCGCCGCCCGGGCCAGGTCGGCGCTGGACGGCGCGGCGATGATGAGGGGCGGCATCAGCCCGCCCAGCTCGGACGTCAAGTCCAGCACCATGCCGCCGAACGCCGTCGTCGCGTCCTCCTGCTCCTCGGCGTGGTTCGCGGCCACCTGTCACGGAAAAAAATATTTGTGATATTTTTCAACGAAGGAAGCGGCAGCTTGGAGCGCAAATGTTCCACGACGGCCACCTCACCTGCAGGATGGTGTCCGAGTCCTGCAGCGCCTGCTTGGCGAGGTACCGCTCCCGCTTGATCTTGAGCTCCAGGCTCTCGGGGATGTCCGGCACCAGGATGTCGATCAGGCGGCAGATGCCGAACACGACGTGCTGGAACAGGATCGCTTGTCTAGTCGACAGTCCACCGGCCCGGGCCTTCAGTGGCCTGACCTACTGGCGGCGCGCGTCCCCGGGGCGGGGCCGGGCCGGCCGCGCCGCAGGAAAATCAATTTACCTCGAAAATGATGACGAAGGCGAACCTGACGGCGAGCAGGCGCCAGAAGAAGGGCGTGTGTTTGCCAGTGGGGTCGCGCATGCCCCGGTAGCGGCACTGCTGCTGCAGCGTGCCCTCCGGCGAGTAGGACAGCGTGAAGTTGACGTAGCCGTCCAGGTTCCAGTGGTACTCGTACTGGTAGAGCAGCTTCGGTAGGAACTCGGACGTGAACGCGATGAGGAAGCCCTGGGGAGCGAGAGAGACAGCATGAGTCAGCTCGGCGGGCGAAAACGCCTGCGAACCACGCGGTAGGCAACACCCGGGACGAACGACATCCGTGCGTTGCGGGACTGCCTATGCCTCGCTTTGCAGGCGCTTCGCTCCGGAGGCGCGGAGTATCGACGCTGCTACCCCACGCGGCGCGCGCGGGGTACGGCCGGGGAGACACTCACGTTGCTGATGACGGCCAGGTGGGCCAGCATGTGCAGGATCTTGAACCAGATGCCGATGTTCTCGGCGCGCTCCGCCACGGGGCGCCGCGTCTCGCAGACCAGCTTGTGCGCGTCCAGCCGGATCTCCACCCAGTTGTTGAGCAGCGCGAAGAGCGGCGCCAGCGGGAACGCCGCCACGAAGATGGTGATGAAGCCGAACTGCAGCACTGCAAACCACCACACCGTCAGCCTCTCTCGCACTCACGGCACTTTGCGCACGAGTGCGAGAGAGACAGCGCCAGCCTTCTGACACGTACCCATCTCGAGATACTCCTGGAAGAGGCCTTCGCTGTCGATGAGCTGGTAGTCTTCCTCCCAGCGGGACTTGACGCCACGCCGCGGTAGCTTCACCTGCTGCTTCTGCCACCACGCCTTCAGCTTGGGCACCAGCAGCTCCTGCGCGTTGTTGATCATCTGCTTGCCGATCATGATGACGGCCAGCTGCTGGGCCAGCTCGATCAGGCAGCCGCCCGCACTGCACTGCAAAAGTCAAGAGTGTTAGCAAAGCCAGTTGGAAATCGTCACCCTCACTCTGACTGGCTGCTTACGTCTTCGTTTCTCAGACGGAGGATGAGGGTGTAGTTCCCCGGGTAGCCGACGAAGCGACCCTTGAAGAAGGCGATGTAGAAAATGGACGAGTAGAAATTTACAAATTGGAAGATGAACACTTTGAAGGTGAGGTTGTCGTCGAACTCGGTTTGAGTGCGGTGCATTTCTGCGGGAGAAACAAAAAATACTTTGTACTCACTTAGGGCGGCAACGATTTCAGATCCTTTCCTCAGGCTTAGACATACCCCACGAAGTGAGCCTGAAGGCCAGCTTCTCGTACACCCTGCTCATGGCCATGATGAGCACCAAGTTGACGACGGCCCCGGTCAGGTTGGCGATGCTCTGGGCCTGGGACCGGAAGGTGGCGTTCTGGAAGAGCGGGATGGACACCAGGACGCGGTAGATGATGACGGCGACGATAAAGATGATGACCAGCGACATCTGCAGCATCACGGGAATGCAGACCAATCATTGTGATTTTCATTCAATTTTTTTTTTGCGTCAATTTTTAACAATTTTAAGATTTGTGCATGTAAGACGGGCGCACCATGAGGAAGATGATGCCGATGCCGGCGGCCACCCGCTTGTGCCGGAGCGAGGCGGGAAAGGACGGCTCCCGGACGCCCGTCACCGGGTTCCGCTCCAGGAAGGGCGCCCTGGCGGCGAACTCGGGCCGCGGCCGCTCCTCCTCCTCCTGGAAGCCCGTGCAGTCCCAGTGGTGGGCCAGCGACGCGCACTTCCGCTTCCAGTACTCCAGGAACGTGACCGCTGTCGACCAAAATCAGCGCTGGACACCTTATCGAGCAGCGGGGGGCCTGTTGTCTTTGCTCTCGGCCTCCTCAAGGGCGGTCGTGCCCCAGGCGCGAGGGGGAAACAACTCAAATTTTTTGTGCACACTTTCCAAAATTTTTCAAAAATTTTCAAAATTTTTAAGATTTTTTTTTTAATTAAATTTTTGAAATTTTTGAAATTTTTTAAAATTTGTCAAAATTACTAAAATTTCTCATAACTTTTGGAATTTTTTTCAAATTTTACTAATTTTTTGACATTTTTGACTGCCCCCTGTTGTCTCGCTCACACTTGCCGCATCTCCATGACTCCATCTCTATCGCTCAGCTCACCCCAGAGGGAGATGAAGATGGCGTAGAAGACGGTGCCCGGGTGGTCGAACAGGTAGGCGAGGCGGGCGTAGCCGCACACGTCGCTCAGGTCCCAGTAGTTGCAGCCGATCTTCTCGTCGCACAGCGGGCACATCTTGAAGGAGCCGCCGGACCGGCACACCTGGTTGGCCAGCGGGTTGTCGTTGATGGTGAACAGGCCGTACAGGAAGACGAGGACGCCGACGAGCGCGGCGGGGAGCAGCCAGCCCGTGTAGAAGCCTGGAACGGGAGGCGCACGTTAGAGAAAGAGAGAGGGCGAACGAGCGCCTGCGAACTGCAGGGTAGGCCGGCCCGCACCACGCCACTGCATGGCGGGCTGGCCCATGCTGCAGGCTGTGCGCTCCCCTGCGGACTTGGCTGCATTCCACGGGGCACCCTAAGCGACGCTCACCCAGCCAAGCGAAGTAGATGGCGATCTTCTCGCCGAAGTACTCGCGGATGTGGTCCAGCGGCTGGTACTTGTACCACTTGCCCCAGCGCGCCCAGTAGTCGTAGAGGATCTGCCGCGGGTTCATGGCGGCGTTGGCGGGGCCGCCGGACGACGTTGGCATGTTGTACGGACCCTGCAGGGAGGGCAGAGAGGCGCTTTAGACAAAGTTTTCAAGCAGCTTTACCGGTCAAAAGCAAGAAAAACCGACTATCAAAAGAAAATTGAATTACTATGTGACTTTAGTAAAATGGAGTGTGCCTAAGGTAATAGAATTCATGAATCAAAATTTAAAACGATGTAACGGGGGCTCGACGGGTATTATCTGAACGTAAATCAAGTCTGTGGCTACGGGACAGACAGCAAGTCAAAGTTTAACGTGACCAGAAGCAATGTCTGGGAGCGCGCGCCGTGATCCCTTCGCGTTCTCATGCACCATTCACGGGGACCCCTCCCCTCCCTCTGCATACCCCTCCCTCCCCACCAGCCCACTGTGGCTCGATAATCAATCTAAGTCCTGGTTCGTCTCAAAAGACGTCCTCACCGAATGCCTTGCTATTTCAGACTCGTCACACTCACGTCGTGCAGCGAGAAGGCGGTGGAGAAGACGCCCTCCTCCACCAGCCGGTCAATGCCCACTTCGCCCTTCTTCTTCTTGCCGAACATGGCCGTGGACAGGATCTCGTAGAGCACGCGCGACCGCTGCACGCTCGAGAAGTACGTCTGCTGGTTCTCGCTGCCCAGGAATCTGCGAGGACAGAGTAAGGTCAAGTTTCGGCTTTTGTTTGGGTGTTTCATATGCATGCCGACCAGAAAAGAACAAACAGGGACTCGGCAGCGCGGACGGCAGTGGCAAGGCGGGGCCACTGTGATGGGGCTCCCGTGAGGGAGACACGGCAAAGTCTGCAGCAGCGGGGCGCGCACCTCTACTTCGCCAAAGCTCGGCGAAGATGTTGCAGTGTGTGGGCCGCTACTACTGGCAGGAGAACTGGAGGGCCAGTCAGCATGCAGTCTGCAGTAAGGGCATGCAGATTGGCTGAGGCAGGGCGGGCAGGGCTGGAGTGGTGGCGGGCCACTGGCGGCGGCACGGGTCATCTATTCAGGAGGCTTGGCCATGCCAGGCGGGCTGTCTGCCCGAGGCAAGGAGAGAGGGGGGGAGGGCTATCCTGCGAATAGCCAGCTCCAGTAGCGGCCCGACCGTTCCATCCCGACCCACCTTGCCGGCAGTCCTCTGCTGCGCGCCGCGCGCCGCTTGGCTAGAAGGAGGCCCTGGGAGACAACAACGCCGCACTCCGGGAGAGAGTTGCCGCGTAAAACCGTGGTGCTGACGACGCGTCCCCGAGGGGCAGGGAGCGTATTGGGGCGAGGGAAGGGGGGGGGGGGGGGGCAGAAAGAGGCGGAGGAAAGTTTGCGAAATGCAGAGGGGTCCTGACGGTCCTGATGAAGGTGCAGGCGCACCGGCGGCTTCTCATCAGCCTCCTCCGCTATTGTTCCACACCGCCCCTTCCCTTTCTCCCTTGTCCAGGCACTCCGCCGCTCCGCCGCTCCGCCCTGAGCCACTTGTGACACCTCAATAAAGAGGCATCGATGCTGTCGGGCCACGAAAGGGCCTCGAGGAGGGCCTCCGGGCGGGCTGCAGCTGGCACGAAGGGCCCCTAATAGGCAACGTGTCAAGCCCTCGATAAGCCGCTGGAACCCTTCGGGCATTGAGCCCTTCAGGCGGCAGTGCCTGCCTTTACAGTGCTTCGCGCCTCACCTGTCAATCTTGGACCGCCGGAACGGGCAGGTGTAGAAGTCGAGCGGCTTGCCGGGGACGTCCTCCGCCATGATGTTGGGCAGCCGCAGCACGGACAGCACGTACGCGGACCAGTTCTCGGCCGGGTTGGGCTGGGCCTGTGGAGGGAGGAAAAAAATGAGACACGACTTTTGGAACTGCCCCTGGTGGGATTCGAACCCACGTCCTCTCAAGTCTGCCCCTCCGTAGCGGGCGCGTATAGCCGTATAATAATACAACGGCGTGGTCGAAATAAAATTGGCTGCCCCGGCGGGGCGAGGCGCGCCGCCATAAAGCAGCAGATAACGCGCAGCAGCCCGGAACTCCCTCGCATTTGCAGAGCGGCCCGTGCGGGTGCGAGGGAGACAGGGCGATGGAAGCACAGTTCGGAAGCAGACTTTGAGAGCATCCGGCGCCGGAACGGCCGGGCGCGAAAAAGCGGCGCCCGTGGGGTTGGGGTTCGACCCCCACCCGCCGCCGGCGTCACAGCCCGTTTTCAATACCGTTCGCACCTCTTTCCGACCCCCGGATCCACACCGGGTGCACTCCGAACTGTGTCGTCATTCGTGGCTCCGTCTCTGTCGCACCGGCTGGTGACGCCCCATGGGTGCGAGAGAGACAGACGATCGGCGCGTGCCGCTCGGAAACAGAAGAAGGCGGTGCCTCTCGCCCTTTGATGGCCGCCGCTGCCACCAGTCCTCGCAAACGAGCGCGGCGTTAATTAAAAGGTGCAGCAAAGAGAGAAAAAGAGAGAGAGGGAAAGGAAAGAGAGAAAAAGAGAAGCTTCAGATGCAACTTGAGGCTGGTGCGCACCAGAAATATACGTTTTAATTGAAGAGAAATGTGGTGACTGCCGCGTTGACATTATGAAAACCCCAAACTCTTTCCAACCTGCTTCAAAACGAGTCAACTCTGCCAAGTCAATCAGCCCCAGTCATTTCCTTTTCCAAAAATCCGCGAGACTTCTTTCGTCGTCGTTAATCTACCGTTATCTCTACGTTATAGGACTAATTTTTCAGCCGATTCTGCTAGACCGACGGTGCAGCTTGTACTCACCTCACTGTACGAGCGAACCTGCGCGGCAGTGCGAGGTGGGCGTAGTGGTGGCAGACACATGCGCGGAACACAGACAAGTTAGTGCATTGTTACGACAGACGACGAGACGGGCCCGTGGTTCAAGTGAGAGAAAACAAAAAGGCGCGAAACAGCATGCGTCATGACTCATGCTGGCGAGTCCTCGTGTCCCGCGCGCGCGTTGGTCGTGAAGTGACGGAAATGTGGTTTTCATGCTTATTCGCTTCGTATTTCAGAGAGGCTGCGAGTGCAGTATTAATTGTAGTAATAATAATTCTCCGCAGGAAGAGGCAGAGACGGTGTTTTAATAAAACATGTTGTGAGGGGGAGATCGCAAATCCCCCCCAGCAACGGCCAGCGAGAGAGCGCGTCCGCAGACCCGGTAAAACTTTCAACCGACTCCTCGTACCCAGCAGCGGTGTCGGTAACAGGATTTACAAGGGCTTTTCGCTCGGGGACTCCCGGCCGCTTGCAAGGTACAGGAAACTTGCCCTGGGACGGGATATTCGCATTAACAGTGTCTCCGACGCGCGGCTTAACCGCGGCCAGGACAGAGAAAGCACAGCCAGAAAAAAAAACATGTGATCTCCAAAATGATAAAATTTTGAACGGTTGTTTTGTTTTGATTTTTTCTAGAGGCTACCAAGATCGCCATAAGCTTCTACACTGATCAAAACAAAACTCAAATTAGAAGCGTCTATCCCCTTTAAAAAAAAGGCCATTAATCTTCATTTCCTAGGGCTGTGGTCTTTGGCTGACTGACCTGCAGCGGCGCGCGCATGCTGAGCTCCTCGGCGTAGTGGCACATGACGGGCCAGGTGGCGTGCAGCTTCAGGAAGTGCACCAGCTTCTTGTTGTCGCTTTCCACCACCTCCTGCGGGGCATGAAAGCAGATGGGTCGTTAGCAGTGCAGTGGATGATTGGCGGCGATCGTCGCGGTCAAGCGAAGGAGCAGCGCGGTCGATGTGGCCGCACGGTCGTCACGCTGAAGGTTGCTGGCGCGTTTGGACGGCGCTGCGGCCGCGGCCGGAAGGGGAGGGGGAAAGCTTGACATTTCATTAATCCACGCGGAGAACAGGAGAACAACTACACTGGCAACACGACGCGCGAGGCTGCGGCGGACAGGGCGTCACAAAAGGGATGCAAGGCTTGATTGAATGGGCCGCCGTCTCTCTCGCACTCCACGGGCACCCCGTCGGGGGCGAGAGGGACGGCGGCTCGGGCCGTAGCCACGCGCCCCACGGGCCCACGGGCTGCTCAATATTCAGAAGCCAGCTCGATCTATTGGGACCCCAATTACTGGCTGCTCCAGCGACACGGCCGGCGGCACGCCCGGCGGCCCCGAGCCCCGGCCACATGACGCGAGTTTGCCCGCCCTGGGGGCGGTTGGAAGCCACGAGCGTCCATCCGAGTGCGACAGAGAGAGCATGAAGCGGGGGCGGCGGTTGCTAGGGCACGATGTGACGGTGAACTAGCTGCAGCCAGATGCTGCATTAATTTTTTAACTGCAGGCGTGTGTTGTAAGAAAATCGTTTCGCCCTGTGTGTCCTGGCAAAGCAGCGCCCTGGGGTCCCCGTCGTGCTCGAGCGAGCGAGCAAGGTGCAGCCCGTTGTCCCAGCCTCCGCTACGCGTCGCCCCATGCGTCCCCCACCTCGCGGGCCCCGGGTCATTTTCCGCAGGACTCCCCAGTGGGAGTCCCCACGGCCCCACACGTTCCGGTTCACCTCGCCATGACGAATCGGCCCGTCCAGACGGCCCGCTGTCTGCCGCCTCGTCGTGCGACAGCGCCATCTGCCGGCCACGGCGGCCATTACAACGTGGTGCCCCTCCACACTGTAAACGAGCGTGTCTCCAGTTCGCAGCGCCGAGCAACGGCCGTACCTACACCCCTCGACACAGCAAACAAGTAGGAACACACACCGACGACACACTCACACACGCGCGCTACACGCTCGACAAGAAGCACCGCGCAGTCGCGCTCTTTTCCACCCTCCGCGACACAGGAACAGGCAGGCGGTGGAGGAGTCAGTGGCGCGAGCGCATGAACGGGTCGTCGAAGTGAACGAAAAAGAAAAATGATAATTCCTGCCGTAGGGCGTGGTGGCGCTAATGGGGTCGCAGCGGGCTTTCCGCTTTTCCTCTCTCCTTGCCGTGGAGTGGCGTGCCGGCGTGCCGCTACACTGTACCCACCTCCTCCATCTCCAGCCCCACGCGGCGCAGGTTGTCCAGGAAGCGCTGGCGCCACACCTCGTGCTTGGCGGAGCGCGTGTTCTCGGAGCGCAGCAGCCCGCCCTCCCCCGCACCGCCGCCGGGCGTGCCGGCCCCGGCGCCGTTGCCGACGGCCTCCTCGTACACCAGCACGAAGTCGATCTTGCGGCGGCCGTCGTGGAAGCAGGTGGCCGGGTTGGGGGCGGCGCGCCCCGAGAGGTGCGCGTTGGCGACGTTGTTGGCGGTGTTGATGGTGGCGGCGGCGTCCCCGACGGTGTGGGGGCCGTTCTCGGCGGGCACGGCGCGGTCCTCGCCGTCGTCATCGTCCACGTGCACGGCCACGTCCTGGCCGGTGGTGCCGTCCGAGTCGTCTTCATCCTCCTGGAAAAAAAAAAGTCCTTCGGTAAACTTGTGAAACTTAAAACTAAAAATTTTGTGGAGGTTTGGCGTTTCTGATAAAGTCTTTTGTTCCCACCACAGTAAGGTTTCCCCCGCTGTTGTTAGCGAAGCGTTCGGAACTTTTGAAAGTTACGAGCCACCGCGATATTCCCGGAAGTATGACGCCACTACTTCCTTCCTCCAAGTTACGGACCGCACCTACCTGCAGGATGCCGCGGCCGTCCTCCTTGATGGAGCCATAGTCGTTGGCGGTGCGGACGGTGGCGCCGCGGTCGCTGCTGCTTCTGGGCGAGTATCGGCGGTAGCGCCGACTCGACATCGCACGCCAGCCTCAGCGTGGACGCGGCCTCCCCGCCGCCCCGATGGCCAATGGCAGGCCGATGGCCGCGACCCTCAGCGCGGGCCGCCGCCGCACCTGCCGTGCCGCGCGTGCCGCCCCCTCGACGTGGCCGTCCTGGGCGTCATGGCGAGGACGACACCTGTGGCGACAAGCAGCGAGCGGTAATTCGAGGAGACGGAGTACTCGGCCTGCTCGCTCGTAATGGAGAGGGATCGGTATCCCGCCGGGATGGACCACGCGGAAGCGACGCGATGACGGCTAGCTCACTCCGAGATCGCGCTGCCTCTCTCACACTCAAGGGCGCGAGCGAGACAGCGAATAAGCACTGTTCGGCATCAGGCTGCAGCGCGTCTGGAGCGCGCTGTCCAAGTGCACGGATCGAACACTCGTCATCGGCGACGTCAGCATCGCCACGCCACCACGCCCTGTTACCTCCAGGCCCGTGGCATTTCCGGGGGTGAGGGGCCCGCCGTGCCGCGCCAGGCCGCGCCGCGCCGTGTATAAAATGGAGTTGACCTATATGGGAAGACAACAACACGGTCCTCGTGGCGTCCTTGCCGGTGGGCCGAATGAGGGCGCGGTGGAGGGGGCAGGGCTGCCGAAGTCAGCCTGCTGCTGCTGCGGCGTGTCGCGTGTCGCGAGGTGCACGCGTCAACACCGCCGCGGCTTATTGAATAACCTCGCAAAACGGCCCGCGCGCGCCGTAAACACCTTGACACCCTGGTGGCATCGGGAACGCCCTAACGCGACGCCGCAGTGCCCCTCCCCCTGTGCGACGACAACGCAAGAATGAGTCCCCTGCCTCATCACCTGATAATCTCCAAAACCCGCCCCTTCCTGGAAGGTCTCCGAATAGAGTGCGTCTTCGCCACGCGCTGTCCAGCCGTTGGTGCGAGAGAGACCGCACGAGTCGTTCGGACTGAGCCCCCTGCCGGCCAGCCCGGGCCAGCCAGACCCACACACGGCGGAGCCCTAACTAATAACACACTCCCCCGACGGCAGGCGTCCAACTTCGGACGGCCCGCTAATTCAATACGCTGAGTGCAGCCAGGCCGCTTTTCCACTACGGGTGGATGTTAGTCTCGTTTCACCACTCTCAACAAACAACAACAACAACAACAACAACAACAACAGTGACGGTGGCGCCCCTCCAGAAGAAAGCGTTTGCAGAGACGATCCGGCCGCCGCGGAGTCTCAAAGAAAACAGAATTAGGGACGAAATGAAAACAGAGACACCACTCGCTTTTTGTTTTCATTTGCCATAGCAGCAGGGCAGTCCGGCCGGGGTTGCTGCAAATTTAAGCCGAACGACTTCGGAGCCGAATAATTAATAAGCAGCCTTGCAGACAGCGGTCAGACGCCACCATTGGAGAGGCTGTTTTCGAACGGTGGCGTGGCAGTCGCGCCACCTCCGTCGCGCTCACGGAGCAGCCAGTGCGGGTGCAAGGGAGACTGAAGCACTGTTTGAAACCGCGGTCTGCTGGTTGGGGGGAATCTTGCTCGGGCTCTGGCGCGGGATTTGTTGTGTCGCTCCCCTTGCAAGACAGTATTTTTTTCCAGCGCTGCCCCGGGCTACCACGCTGCCCACTTTGCGAGTCATGTTTACAACGCGCCCTTAAATCCTACTCCGCAGCGACAACACGCAGCCGCCTCCAGCGAGGCCTCCAGCTCCAGCGCCGCCCCACAGCCGCATGCGGAAGCGCCGCCGGGTTGCATGGTAGCTGGAGGGAGGACGGAAGACACGCATTACTCGTATCCAGGCCAGCCTCGCTGATTTGACCATGGGGCTTGTCCGCTCAGATACATTCATGGTGGTGTACACAGACACCGACTGCATGCAACTATAGTCGAATTTGAGAAACGTGGAGGACACGGCTGCAGGATGAGATCAGGGTGATTAATGCACATTTGTTAAGTTCGTCCGCAGCTGGAGAGGTACCGATAAACTTCCGTCATCCGGTTCGTCTCTTCGTGCGAATGGCAGGTTTTCCTGGCTTGGTAGTGTATCGGTTTCCACTGTACTGCCGCACGTGACCCACCCACGCAGACCTGCGATCATTATTCTATCACCATTTGGCGAAATGTGGCGCACTGGGAAGGCCTTGCCGCTGCTGCCGCTGCTTGTCGATGGGTTCGTTCCAGTGGTTCCAGGGCTCCAGCAGCGGCACGCTCCAGGCTCCAGGAGGGCGGAGCGGGCGGAGCGGGCGGAGCGCTCGGCCCCATTCAGCTTGCCTTATTCAGCAACGTGCCCTGCAGGCTGATTTCGAAACTGTTCCGTCGTTGTTCTTTGTCTCTCTCGCACTCATTCGGGGGGAGAGAGAGAGAGCGAGAGAGAGAGAGAGAGAGAAAGAGAGAGGGCGGCGCCCTCCGCAGCGTGATCGGCATAATGCCTGGATATTCCAGCGAGTGGCGGACGGGCTGCAAGGTCCAGTAAACCGCGGTTTCATCACTGGCCCGCGAGTACGAGACCGGCAGAGCGGCAGAGCAGCGCCTCCCCTTGTTGACGCGCCCCTACTCACTCCCTCGGGCGCCCGACTGCCTCTCTGCCGCAGTTTCGGGGCGAAATTTCACTTTATTTCACCGGGCCCTCTTCCTGATGACGTCTCGGCTCGCCCGGCGGAGCGGGCCGGAGGGGACCGGAGGGGGCCGGAGGGGCGGTGTGCCTGTTGACAGGCAGCCTTCCCGCCAACGCCCCTCAGCCACGCGCCCAACGGCACTCTTCCAAGCGGAAGGGCTGCACCGCGGTGCCGGTGGTTTCACCGTCGCAGCCATGCTGCCGAGAAGGCGAAAGAAAGGTTGAAATACGGCATGGAGAGTATTGGGAGCCACAAAAAGAAAAAATCCAAAGAGCGCTTGAAAAAAAATTAGTATTGTTTGGAACAAATTCCCACGCTTGATCGATAAACGAGTCCTTTTCTGGGTTCGACTAAACAGACAAAAGTTGCCCTCAAAGAAATTTTTAAAAAAGCACCTTTGCTAAGTTTTTTTCTTCCGTGTCTCTTTATTGGGGCCTTTGCTCTGTCGAGTCTTTTATAAAGATTCTCTCCTGTTATCGTTTTCCCAGCACCGCCCAGTCTTGTATCAGTACATCGTGGGTGTTGGTTTCGCACGGGTCGGGTGACAGGGACCGGTGGTCCACAGAGGCGGCTGTCGCCCCACGCCTAGCACCGCCTCGCACTTGGACGTGTGGCGTGCGATCTCAGCGCCACACAACGCCCTCCAACCCTCTGGCCAACGGGGAATCGATCGCGCGAAGGTCGCACAGCTGCAGCTGTGATCCGCGCCGATGGTTTGCCAGTGGCTTGCACGCCCATGGGAGCCACATGCCCCTCCTGTCAAAGCGCTTTTTTGGGACTTTTGCAGTCGCACTTGGTGTTTTCAAAAGAGCACTAGATATTTTCCTTTCCTTTCTTTCTCAAAGAAACAGTAGCCATTCCATCACTCGGACGTGACCCGCACACAAGCTCAAAGTTGGAAAGGTGGGATAGAAATAACAACTTCAAGAAACGGCCAGAGAACGCAACGGGTAAGCGGCGGAACTCCGGGACGACTCGCGACGTGTGTTATCGGATGACGGATCACTCTCGTCAGGGAATTGAAGTGGGCGACGGGGGAGTTGTAGTCTTGAGTTGCCCCACCCTCCCAACCTCAACATCGCTGAATCGTCTTGGCCGCGAGAACGCAGCGCACCGGAGTACCGTCGTTCCAGGAATGGGAGCAGGGGCAAAAAAGCCGCTAATAGTTTTGTGTCCAGTTTTGTGACAGTTCTTGCTCAAATTCTGAAAGGCCGTTTCAGTGGATCTGACTTGATAATTTTGACAGTGAAGTGTGGCTGCAATGCGGTTGGTCATTAAGACTGGAAAGACCTTTAAAACGCAGGCTGAGGGACCGTTTTCTGGGTCTGCCCAAACGACCCAGACGCAGAGGCGGGCACGACGGCCTCGAGCAGATTGCAGTGCGGTGGCGGAGGGCGGAAGTAGAGGCATTGGCGCGCAGCAGAGGAGTTGATGGCCGCCCCCTCTCTCCGCCCTCCGCCCGCCTCGCCTCCTCCACGTCACGGCGACGTGCAATGCAACCACCACACCTGCAGGTGGGCCACAAAAAAGTCCAACTCCGCGCGCCTCTCCCACGAAAAGCAAGTTTACCACAAGCAGAAAAGCAGACTGTGCGGGAATTTCGGGCCCTGCAGCTGAGTGGGGAGAGCACTCTAGTCAGAGCATCAGGCTTGGAAATACAACGACCCAAATCCGCCCCTTCCAGATTGACAGAGCCAGAAAGGCGGCTGGAAATTAGCTACGCCATTGAGGGCAGTGGGTGGGGCACTTGCAGCCGGACTGCTGTAGGCGTGACGATCGGGGGGGGGGTGCCTCACATGGGGGCGGCGAAGGGGTAGGGGGGTAATTGGGGCAGATGGAAACAATGTTACGACGGCCTGCCCGGTGGAGGGGCTCACGTCACCGATAAAGAGCACAGACTTGCCACCCCAGCCCTCCAGACCCTGGTACAAAGGGCTTAGCACGGCCCTTCATCAAGAGTGGCCGCTAAACGCGCCCGGTGGCAGCATGCCCCTAAGTCAGGCCGTCCCGCGGGAGGGCTCGCCGTCTGCCCTTTCCTCCGGGAGCCACCCGGGAGTCAAGGCAGGCAGGGCTGGCGCTTCATCAGGGCGGACAAGGGGCAAGGCCAAGGCGAGCCGGCAGGGCCTGCAGCGAAGGGCTGTGCGACCAGGCGCGCATTGGCGGAGGAAGACTTACAGTGGTCGCTCGGTAGCAATGATCACCTCGTTCCTTCCAGGTGCACCGGAGGGACACTTTTTGCTTGCCTTCACGATGGTTGACCCAGGCAGGCCTCTGCAGAGTGAAGTGGGAATCTTTTTTTGGACAGCATTAAGTATCGCTGACACTCAGCGCCAACCCAAGAGTGCGTGTGAAAGATAGCAGTTTGGAGGACGGCTGGGACGTCGAAGGCTGTGACGCACTCCCCTCCTCGCGGGTTGGCTAACTGC